CTCCCTCTCTCCCTCTCTCCCCGTGGCAGGGCTTGACCTCTGTCAGCCACCGTACCCTCAGTAGAGTGTCTTGGGTGGAGGGGTGAGGAGGGGAGGGGGGATACTGGGGGAGGCGGGGGCACATGTGACTGACTTTCGCACGTGTATGATGAAAGTGACATCTGAGGGCTTTAAATGTAGCTATAATTAGTGTCCTACATTCCCCTTTATCAGTCACCTATTCTGGAGGATTTGGACTTGTGTGTGTGTGTGTGTGTGCGCGCTTTAGCCCATAGGCTAAAAATTCTATCCCTACACACCTGCCTCATGACTCTTTTCATACATGTCACTATTTTAAACCCATTATTCCGTCCTCCTCCTCATCCGTGGATGGTATTATCTTATTCTTCTACCTCCGTGCCCCTCCGCCCCCCCCCCCGCCTCACCTCTCCCCCCCCTCTAATCTACCACCAATCTCTCTCTCTCTATTTTAAATTAACATGCAACATAAAAAAAAAGACAGCAGGAAAAAAATTAAATGCATTTAATAAATGGCTGACTTCAAATCGTTCGACTTTTCAGACTCTGCCTATTCACAGTCCAATGAAAAGGGAGAAATCATTCACCGGGAGAGACAAAGCTGAATGAAAATATAATTTCGTATTGTGAGGCGCTTTTGTCCTGGCCCGTCAAATTGCTAATGGCGTAGCTTTTGTTTTGCGGCGGCGCTCTCAGGCTAGCGGTGTCGTATGGCGGTGGCAAAGCGTGCCCCATAATCACCATGCTTTGTGATATTAGATTATAGGGGCAATTAATGGCGTCAAACCTTAACTACAATGCATTCAGCTTCACTCACACACACACTCACACACACACAGCCTTAACCACAGGCATAGATGCAGATCCGCACACACACACACACAGACACACACACCGTGTCGTACGTACTGTACAGTACATCAGCGCTTTCACACATGTCCACACGGCGGCTGGCGTGTGCCAACACACAGGAAGGTGCTATAACTCCAGTAATTATTACGCCTGTAACTTGAAAATGTCAATGGCGTTGTGTATAAAATAGAATGTGGGAATTGTCGGGGAGGAAGAATGGGATGCACAAGAGCAATTAATTACAGCTTTTCATTTGGCAGCTCAGACTGACAAGGCCCTGCGGCGGGGGCACGCTGGCACGAAGCCAAGCGTCACCCATTACCACCCCCCCACCTTACAACCCAACCCAACCCCCCGGACCCTTTTGACTGTTCTTTTACCAGCTGCCACAACACCACCCTTCCCCTGATCACCTCGCTCACTGTTGGCTTTTTTTATTTTTTTTTTCCCTCCACTCTCTTTCTTTGTTTACTCCAAATACACACTGTCGTACACTCTGATACTTATTGACACATCCGTCATCTATTTCCCTGAAGCTTCTCCAGTTGCCGACTGTTTGTAAATATAACTTTCAGGGCAAATCAAACTGACGAGTATAATTAGATGTTACTCTTATTTAGTGACCATGTCACTGCAGTTTCTTCTACATTTTATGATTCCTTTCCAAACTGAAGATACTCAATATTGTAGTTTTGCCAGTTTCTGGTTTCTGTCCATTCTAGTCGTATTAAAGTCTAGAACAGCTCAATAGTTCCAAAATCACAGATCTGTTTCTTTTCTAGCAGATGTTCTACGCTGGTTATACAAATGTGGTTGGCATCGGTGCTAATGGTGTGTGTGGGTGTGGTTTCTTCATCTTTAATATTCTTTCTTTTCTTATATGTCAATATTAGAGATGGATATGATTTTTCATAACGTGCCTTTGAAGAGTTCTGTGTTCTTTGTCTTGGTCCAGTGTTGACGTGTGCAGCATTTTTCAAACCAAATCAAATGGTCAAAGCAACATGTGTTGATATGAATTTCTTATTCTTTTCCCAAAACTAAACAACCTTTTGATTTCACTGTCCAAAGAAATGGCAACGATGCAGAATGTGACCCGCTGTGAAAGACATACAGCTGATGTCAACACTATAAAGAGAAGAGATGTTTGGACCTCAATGGCAGGATAAAATCTTCTCTTTTTTTCAAAAGATGTTTGCTTGTCTTTCCCCAAAAATTAGAGTAATTTTTTTAAATTGCTTGTCTTTCCCCAAAAATTAGAGTCATTTTTTTTTAAACTTTTTGACTAACCTTCATCTATCTTCTTCCATTATTTGCCATTTTACAGTAAATATCAATATAAAAAAAGTTTAATTTAATTTAAATATTTGGGAGTTGAACAACTTCTCACCTCAGCCTTTTGCAGTCGTAAAAGCTTGACATGATAATACAGTAGAACGTGGGGTCTCTGACAGGACCACTGTGAGGAAGGAGAGAGAGAGAGAGAGATGCTAGGTGGGAGAAAGGAAGGAGGAGGGGGTGTCAGTGGGCTGGTGTTGAAAAAAAGAGTGTCAGTATTTATGTGTAATCTTGTTTACAAAATCGAATCAACTCTTTACAGATTCAATTTATCAGTGACAGCTCATCCCCAGCTCTGCGCACAGTTCCCATCACCCTCAGCACCTGATCCCCTCAGGTCACATCTCTGAAATGAGCTCCACATCACTGGTACTTGTACATGCCCACACACAAATACACACACAAATACACACACACACAGTCGCACAGACACATACCAGCCCACACAAATGCACACGTACCTGTATAAACACTCTGACCAGGAGAGGTGTAAGTGCTATGATTACAGGTGAATATAAAAACCAGAGGTTAGAGCTCTCTCTCTCTCTCTCTCTCTCTCTCTCTCAGTTCAACACATGTTGCTGTGTTTTTTTACAGATTCTATTGAGATTTTATTTGTTGCCTTTGTGGCCAACCGTTAAAAAAAAAAAAAAAAAGATTTTCATCCCCCCAGTCTTTGAACATGGTAAATATCAGCTTTTTGACACAGTTTCTTTTCCCTAAATAACATCTTGTTTTTCTCTTCGTCACCCTCCATTTCCATTTTTGTTTCCATATTTTGAGAAAATGCACGGCGTATCGACAAATATCTGTGTTTTTTTTCTTTCAGTTTCCCTTCTCCTTTGTCTTTCTCTCTGCCAGCCTGTGTCCATATCTGATCAGATAGACGTCTAATCAGATACCCACTTTGTTCTTCCTCTCTTCTCAGCCAGGCTCTGCTGTGTGGAGAATAAATCATCTTAATCGTGTGTTTATGAAAACAGATAAGGTTCTGTGTTGACTTGAATAGCATATCTCACCGTTTGGCGCTGCCTGTTGTGACAGAAAAAAAGTTTTTTTTTGTTGTTGTTCTGCAAACTGAACTTGTTTAGAACAGTGTTGTCAAACATAAGGCCGGTGGGCCAAAACTGGCCCACTGTGGTGTTCAATCCGACCCGCTTGATGAAAATAAGAAAAATACACAAACATCAAACGTCATGTTCAGGATATTTTTTGTAAAAAAAAATGTATGTTTTTACACAACCCTTAGCCCACGGATTGATTCGCATAACCTTTTTTTTCCTGCCTGGTAGAAAAAATATTAACGTGTGTCTGTGTCCACTGTGTTGTCCTCAGGTACCGGTGTCCATGGCAATGATGAGTCCACAGATGATCACTCCTCAGCAGATGCAGCAGATCCTGTCTCCTCCCCAGCTCCAGGCCCTGCTGCAGCAACAGCAGGCACTGATGCTCCAGCAGGTAAAATGCACACGACGCCAACACAACTTGGACCTGGTCCCAGGTCGGCTTGTTTGAATATGCCATTTTTTAGCAGGTGATGACACACACAGGGTGTGATTGAGTCTCGTTCTGAGCTCTCGGGGCCTTTGAAGATAAACAGACGTCTTCAGAGCCACTCATACACACAGGTTGCTGCGTTGTTGCTAGGAGAATATGCATGCTGTTGCGTGTGCAGGCACACACTCGCTCGGCTAAACACGTTCTCATAAGCTTTTAAACATCGGCAGGGGAATCAACCGGGGTCCAGAGGGTTGGTACCCGACGGGTTGCTGAGGTGTTGCCATGTCGACACTAAAACCAATAAACACTCTTGTTCTGCAACAGCTGTGTCAAACCTTCAACCTACACGCGAGAAACACACAAACCCCTTGTAAAAGGTGTGAAGAGCTGCTGCGACCAGAGCAGTTCGCGCTGCAGCGGCGGTGGCATCAGGGATGTCAAGACAACACATAAATAGACTCGTCAGCAAGGCCGCAACGCAACTGACTTAATAGGGAGCCGTAGCTTTGGGCAAGTGTAAATTGCGGCAGAGAAGATCAGACCACGTGTATGATGATGGAAACTCTGGGCTTTCTGGGAAAAAAAAAATAAAAAAGACACGCAGACGGTGAAGAACCTCTTCACCAGCTCTAACGAGGAAAAAGGCTGAGGCTGGTTGATAAAGCACACTCTCACACATACGCACACACACTCACACACACACATTGCTATTAAAACCACTGAGTTTAACATTGCTCTCCCACTTAATTAACCGCAGTATGGACTCGCTCTTAGTGTATATCTGCAAATCTGGCACTTTTTAACAGAGTCTGAGAAAGAGAGAGAACGACCAGCCAACATATCACTCACTGGAGCATTAAATTTCACATCCCCGTGGCAAAACGGCGTTGTGTGCGAGCGTGCAAGTGACGGCGTTATGGACCGGCGCTACGCAGAAATACTGTAGTGCATTTATGAGGGCAGACGTTCTGAGATTAGAACGTGTGTTTGTGCGAACGAATGGTTTTAACCTTTGAGCCTGTTTTGGCCTTTAGCTCTGCCACAGCTGTTCTCTCTCTCTCTCTCTCTCTCTCTCTATTGGTGTGTTGACTAAAACCAAGGTCGTGGTAATAGGCTGGAGAGGTGAGTGCTTCACTTACACATACTTTTAATGCACAAAGCCACTGAATCAAATCATTAGAAAGACCTTAATTATTACTTAATTATTCCCTCAACTCACCAATCCCCCAGACGGCCGTGCGTGCGTGCGTGCGTGCATGTGTGTGTATGTGCGCGCTTGCGTGTCTGCGGGTGAGGAGGCGATCAGGGCTAGTGACGCGGAAAAGAGAGATTAACTCCACCCGAGGAGCGATAAAAGAAAGTAAAGACAGATGGAAAAGAAAAGAGCGGCCACGATGCACGAGTTCCGACTTTAAGATAAATTAAAGACGAGAGCGAACGCCGTCGCACAAATCCACAGTAAAGTGAATTAAAGTCACAGAGGCTTAGACAGTACTGAAAGTGTAAATCTATTTTTGCCCCGAAAGAGGGCCATTAACTCACACAAAGTGTGTGTGTTGAGGATGGGCGGGTGTGTGCGGCCGTCTCGCCGCGGGGTCAGAGACCTGAGCAACTGCCGTGCTGTGAAGTTATTCTCCAGAGAAAAGCCTTCTTGAACATTCGATGCGCCGTGAAACAAAGACAAACTGCAGACACCTCACACCTGAGCTGTGTGTGTTTATGAGGAGAGCCACCAACACACACACACATCCGCACCAGTGCATTTGAACACACACTCGGTGGTCAGTGGCCTTCCTCTCGCTCCCTCAGCTCCGTCATCCAGATCATAATCTTAATGGAGCTTCCTGAGTCAATTAAGGAACAAAAACAGACAATTTGTGTCCAGTGAGAACTGACTGTGTGTACAGTGAACATGTGAACAGACACATTGATCGTGTTTCATTTGGAATCGTTAATGATTTACGTCCTCAAGACACAAAATATCCAACGCGATGCAAACAGACAAAAGGAAGTTCATCACGGTGATGTAGGCCGACTTCACGGATCTCCAGTTCCTCGTACAAACTTATCTCTGTGGTCAATGGTATGTTGACCAGTTGAGTCTTCTTTAAATGGTTTTTAATGTTGTTAGCTTCTATAAGGTGTCACCTGACTGGAAACATTCCAACTATACATACTTTTGAAAAAAAAGTTTTTAGCACTCCTCAGTGGTCACTGTGGTTTAACGCGGGCAGGTCAGTCGTGCAGCTGCAAGTTACATATAGTGAGACATGTTTTAAGTAAATAAATTATCTGGCAAAATTTAGGGCCCGTCTTCACCTGCAATTTTGCGACCCAAGTCAAAAGATATTATTCGTAAATTCCTGGGAAACATGACACGAGATGACCCCAAAAGAAATCTCTCGCGACCCACATAAGGGTCGTGACCCAGTCTTTGGGAAAACAATGATGTAGAAGACCTAGAAAGTCACTTACTGTTGCCCTGCAGACAACAGTTGTTCACATTCGACCTCCGACAGTAAATGAGTTTCTGAAGAAACTCTTCTTCTTCTTTGTCTCTTTCCTTCCTTCCTTAAACACACATTGCATTTTGAAAAAAGCTTGCCAACATGTCTGGAGACTGGTTCATGCTAACTTTCCTGTGGCACCACAGCTTTGACACACACAGTGACTTCGCAATGCGATCTGGTACGCCATAATAGCTGCATGAGATCCTCCAGTAGCGTTTGTGAGGTCTGTGTCTGCTCGGTGTGTGTGTGTGTGTGGTTGGCCAAGAACCCACACTCTGCCACAACAATAAACCCAAACCTTCAACAACACAAACAGAACGCAGCTGCGTTCCTCAAGGACCTTTCTGATTTCTTTTTACCCTGATGTCTGACTATTTCACTCTCACTGTTGGAAAACCCAACGGTTGAATCTGATACAAAGTGACTCTCTCTTCTCATAGCTGTCCTCCTCACCCTCTGCCCCTCCCCCTTACTTGTCATCGCCATCACCCTCTCACCCATTCTTCTGTTTCTGTGTCCAGTTACAGGAATACTACAAAAAGCAGCAGGAGCAGTTGCATCTCCAGCTACTGACTCAGCAGCAGCAGCAACAGCAGCAGCAGCAACAGCAGCAGCAGCAACAGCAGCAACAGCAGGCTGGAAAGCAGGCAGCGAAAGAGGTGAACTTCCCCCAAGTACACACTCACTTTGCACAAGTACTATAAAGTACTCAAGTACCCCAACTGCAGTAAAAGTGTTTTGACCTGGGATCAAATAGAAACAAAAAAAAAAGGATATATATTGAAAATCTAACCTGTCGGATGTTGGTTCATGTTCATTTTCTTATACAAAAACAAGGGGTTACTGAATATATTTTCTACTTTCCTCCAGTCCTACACCCACCGTAGCGCTGGGCTAAGCCATATTCTCTCCCCCGTCGGGGGCAGAGCTTTCAGATTCATGCCTTCATCTCTAAGCCTGAGGTGAAATCTCTCTGTAGGAGGAGATCTCCACACCTTTTAATTGTCAATTAACCTCGCCAGCATTCGCAGCCTCCCAGGCTCCCACTCTCTTTCTGTAATGTACACACACACACACACACACTAGCGTTAACCACAGTTGTTGTACAGTAGGATAACAGCGGATCAACTAGGATCTCCTTGCGGCACAACAAAAAGGATTTCAATTGATCAGACCAGATTACCGTCATAACCTGTGCATATATAGCGCGGGGGTGAGTCTTTTTGTGCCGGTGTTTGTTATCGGAAGGCTAACTCACCCAAAAAGTGCTGAACAAACAGAGGACCATGCAGAAGACAGACACCAGGAGAGGGAACCTCAGGAGACATTTCTGATAAACGCATGAGGGGACACATCCTAGATTTCCCTTCTCCCCCCCCCCCCCCCCCCCCCCCCCCCCCCCCTCCTCTCCCCCCCCCCCCCCAGTAACAACCCCCTCACAGACAGCGGTCAAACAACTCGAGCGTGACCACAGCAAACTAGTTGCGGTTGACTCACATGTGGGGAGGGTGTTTGAGTCCCTTCTCCGTTTCTCCGCTGTCCCACATTTCAGGTTTGTTGTCCTGTAACAACTAGACAAGAGCAAACACTGGTCGCACAGTTACACGTACGAGTCGAGATGGAGGGGCTTGATGTGGGACGGTTCACTGCACAAACACATTCACTTGGGAGTAGAAAAGCCTCCCCCACGTCCCCCCCTCAGAGCCACACACAGCTGATATGACTAAGGACGTTTTGTGCCGTCAGTGTTTTTTTCGGTCGCTGCGAGGCATCAATCACACCTTTTTAGTCACTACTCTACAGGTGCTGTTCAACAGCTTGCAGGCAGAGGGGGCTCTTCTGTGTGCGGCTGCTGGGCCTCAGTGTAACTGTGACAGTCTGCTCGTCTTTGAAGCTGAAGAAAAAAATATTATTCAAAGCAGAAGTTAAACAAATGACTCTTTTGAATCAGGGGGACGGGGGCAATAGGTAGATCACAAAGTTTTATTATTACATCAGTTTATTATGATTTTTTATCTATTTGTTTGCCTTTTTTTAATATTTCTATATTATTCTATTTTAACATATTATTAGGATTTTAATATTTATTATTTATTTTAAATGCTGTAAACTGACAGCACCAGGGGGCGTTGTTGAGAATGACGTTGACAATAAAGGCTGTTTGATCCAACACTTAGTTAATGAGCAAATAAAATATAAAATATATATCTATATTCAATAGTGTGCAGTAGTTACCATGTTAATCACTAGCCCAACTTTTCATGTATATACTGTATATAAAATGTATGTTTACTTTATATGAGTAAATATAAAGTGAACAGTTTAAATCATTCAAAAAAAAAAGATACATCAACGATGTAGAATTTGAGCTTCAATTCAAACAGCTTTAAATGAGTTTTAGGAGGAAGAGTCTTAAAATAATCACAACCTTAGAAAGGGATGTCAAGTTTTTACTGCAGGTACAGTACACTACGCAGGCCTGTGCTCTGTATTCTGACTCTCATTTAAACACAGTTCTACCATTCCTTCTCCATTTAAAGGACCATTCCTGTGTAAATCCTCCGACATGAAAACTCTCTGCCTTTTGTTTTGTGCATGAGCGACTGTGACTTTTTCACCTTTCTCTGCAATTCCTTTCCATTTTCCTGTCTGCATGGACGTGGTGCAATGAAAGACTAAAGTACACAGTGTTTGTGTGTATATATGTGTGTGTGCGTGGCAGTACGTGCGTATCGAGTCCGTGTTTTTGTGCCACCAATGCATTTGGGACTGGTCAGAACTCGGCTTAATGAAGTGACTCCGACCATCACAAGAGATATGGGAATGTGTGTGTGTGTGTGTGTCTGTCAGTATTCTGTGTGTGTGTGTGCACACTCATCTGTGTGACTGGCAGGCTCAGACAGTGTGTGATGTGCTCATAAATCACATTGACAGCCTGTTACTGCGCTAGCTTTGGCCACTCAGCCACAGCTAATGTAAACAGAACGCAGGCACTCCCAGTCACACAGACACACACATGCACACAATGTGTGTTTTAAAGAATCGTGGTCATATCTCAGGAGGGAATGAGAGACAGATGGGGCAGTGGTGAAAATAAAATACACAGACAAGTAAAAAAAAAAAAAAAAAAGGATCAAGTGGCTAGAAGGAGAGTGGAAAAAGCCAGTCATTTAATTTAGAACATGATTAAATGATAACAATATTACATTCACAGTTGCATCGACCCGCTTTCTTTCAGTGCACCGGCCTCTGTAAACATGACTCTGATCTGTCTGCGAACACTTCCGTCTTGGTGTGGTGTATATAAAACAGAGCCTGTGTATAAATATCCAACAGTTAGAACATGACGGAGGGAAAATAAGACAATGACAAGTGCTTTGTGAAACTTGTTGAGACGTTAAGAAGTGGAGCTGTAGTGTGAGATGATTCGACAAACACCCTGGCCATCACCAAGAGACAGTCTGCTGTTATCAGATGAAGCTCCTTTTTTTGAAGTACACTTTTATGTGTTGACGCCTTAAAAAAAAAATCAATCAAAAACAGAGTCCAGGGTGGATTTATTCTTCTTGTTTATAAGACTTAAATTTAAACAGAAAAAAACAAAACAACACTTCTGTTCAGTTCAGTATAGTCGTGATTGTTTGATGATTTTCCCATTCAAATTGAATCATCTAATATTATATAGTAAAGCAAACCATGGAATAACATGGTGTATTGTGGGATAGGAAAGTGTAGTATGTGGTGTAAATAGGATTAGAATGGTAAAGATAGCATAGCCTAGCATGAAATAGGACAGAATAGTTAGCCTAGCATGATAAAGTAAAGTATAGTATAATATGAGAGAGCAGAGAATACCATGTATGGACTAGTAGGGAATGTTTTTACGTCTGTATAGCACTGTAGCAGCATAGCATAAAATACTAGAGCAATATACTATTGTACTGGTATAGTACAGCACATTATGTGGTCGTATAGTATACTTTAGTATAGTCGGGGATGTAAACTAGTAAATTGAATTGTGTAACTAAACCTTTTATATTATATTATATTATATTATATTATATTATATTATATTATATTATATTATATTATATTATATTATATTATATATCTTCATCTCCTTCTCCTCTAAAGCCAGTTCCCACATACAAACACATTTTCACTCCAGGCCTTAAGTCTGAAGGAAGTGACCTATCTGGCATTACTGTGAGTTCTTCTCTGTTCAAAGAGTTCCAGACTGCCACTCTCTTCTCACACACTCACAATGAGCCGTTCATCAAGTTGTGTTTATTTATTTTTCTCCTCCACTGCTTATCTCTGAGAGATAAAGTCCATTTCTCCCAGGGGTTGGTCAGAGGGGACTTCAAACAGCACAGCTACGGCCAGGTCTGCCCCGGACTGGGAGGGCAGGAAAAGGGATATTTATCACCGTAACACACACTGATATTATCGCCACGCGCCATGTAGTCTCTCCTGGTCTTCATGCTGCTTCCCCTCAATCTTTGTCTTGTTCAGCTGCTGTCTTTACTCAGGTTCATCACGGGCCAGATGTAGGACAGCTGAATAGTTGTTTTAATTTATTTGTTATTACTATGTTAATAAACTAAATGAGAATAGTAAGAAGTAAACAAAAATCACAGGATTTTTTTTTATTTGAAAAAAGCTGATACTGTATGGATCCTGAATGTTAAAGGGATATTTTTGTGTAATTTTTTCTTTTTTTTTAAGTTGTAAGCCAACTTGTTAACTATCCCTCCTTGTTCTCTTCTCATTAACAGCAGTTAGGCAGTAAGCAGCTGGCCTTCCAGCAGCAGCTGATCCAGATGCAGCAGCTTCAGCAGCAGCATATCCTCAATCTCCAGAGACAGGGCCTGGTCCCCATGCAGCCCACTGCCGCCATGCAGTCTCTGCAGCAAGGTACAGTAATGCCCACACATCCACCGGCATTCATGTCTGCACCAACACGGTTACACACTCTCAACCTAATACACATGTGTGCACAGATGCCAGTGACAACACACACACACACACACAGGCCTTAAGCCAGTGCCACATGTGAAGCCTGTTAAGTTAATCATCCTATAAAAGATTAAAGGAGACCTGATTGGTGGTTTTGTGGAAGGTACTCATTTGTGTAATAGGTAAAATATGCCACTTAGACGACCCCTGTTTGTGTGTGTGTGTGTGTCTGCCAGTGTGTTTTTACATGTGAGTGCATGTGTGTGTTCCTGAGATAAGCCAGACATGAGAACATCATTGTTTTGCCATTACTGTGCCCACTGGTTCCTACAGTATGAAAGGGTAACACCCCTCCTCCCCCGACTCCCCC